ATTATTTTTATTTTTATTTTTATTTTTATTATTATCATTATTATTATTCAAAAAAGATTTTCATTTTCATTAAGCTAGGTTAGGTTAGATATTCATTATTATTAGGCTATGAGAATAGCTAACAAACAGGAAATGCGTTGCTTAGCGAGGCCAAGGGCGCTAGGACAGACGGGTTGGGTTGTATTTCGGTGTATTTGTTACACTTATTCGTAGATACTAAATAGAGTTCACTGATATGTGTTTGTTTCTAAAAAATACTTTAAATAGAGCTCTCTTATCTTAAAAGTAAACGTCCTTTCCAACCAACGGTCTTTTTGCCGGTTAGGCAGCCGTACGCTCTGATTATTTACCGTTGCACTATCCGTGCCAAGCAGCGCCGGCGTCGCTTCGTATACTCACTAATAGTGCAATTTTCGTATGACCGTGAAAAGTTCACGGCACGAACACAGTCGTGACACAGCAAGGGATACGCCAGACCAATCACATTGCACGACACTACTCTCCATCCAATCAAATACCCGGAACACGGCATAAACACGGCGCGGACACGGTCACGGCAAGGTCACGGCAATGCAAAACCAATCATATTGCGCGTGAAAAAAAATCAGCCAATTAAAATTCTAGAAAGCATCACSGTCACGGCACGTCACGCTTACGGCACTGAGCTTTTCACAGTCATACGAAAACTGCTCTGAGTGAAAAAACATACAAACCAATCCGTCTGTCCTAGAGCCCTTGAGTAGGCAACTAAATCGCTTATTGAAATATAAAATTACATTTTGTCTGAAAGACACAATTTCTTGTCAAAATGTTAGGAAAAGGTTGGTAGCAAGAAAAAAGAAATTTTCTCTATGCTATATAAACAAGAGAATATGAAATAGTTCGTTTTCTCTTGATATAAATCATTAGTTAGACCAATTTTAGAATACGCGTGTCCAGTATGGGCACCGCATTTAGTAAAAGACGTTTTAGCTTTTGAAAAAATACAACGTAGAGCATCGAGAATCGCTCTCGGTCAAAAACCTCGCGAGATGTCTTATGAAGATCGATGTGAAATAAACTTGACTGACTTGACTTGACTTGCAATACTCTTGAATATAGAAGGGAGTATCTGTCGTTAATAGAATGTTATAAGATAGTGTTTGCATGGGTTTAATGGTCTAGATTTTAATCACTACTTTGAGTATTGTAAAAGTAATAGCACTAGAACAAATCATCAGTATAAGATCCAAGGGAAATCAGCAAGAGTCAACTGCTTTAAGTACTCTTTCTTCGTAAGGATTATAAAGCCTTGGAACAATCTATCAAATCATGCATTACAAGAGAAATTAGATAGAAACGTTTAAAAACATTTATGAATATCTATTAATCTGTTAAGTATAATTATGTATTCATTTTTTTATAATGATCATTTAATATATCATGATAATTAGTACAAATTAAATATTATTAGTAAAAATACGCAGGTGATTATAGAAAATCTCGCGCGCTGATTGGTCAAGAAACTCACACTATCACACGATAATCACCACGATCGAAAATCCAAAATGGCGGCTAGCTGCTTTGTTGCTGTTAACGGAAAAAAATGTCTTTTATCTTCTTTTTTTTTTCTTTTTTTGAAAGAATCACCTGCGTATTTATACTGAAACAATTATTTGCCTCAGGCTCAGTGATTATTGGGGAATATTTACCTTGCCGCTCGAAGACTCGCGCCTCGGTAAATATTATTATTATTATTATTATAATTATTATCATTATTATTATTATTACTAATGTAGATTTTTTATCATTATTATACATCTTTTTATTTATTTAGGGGACCTTCTATAGGGCTAACCTCATGGTCTTCCTTTTTAAATTCTCTTTTTTTATTTCGTTTTCTTTTGAAATTGAATTTGAATAAAGTATTATTTTTTTATCTTTATATACAATTTGCTTCAATTTTGCTTACAATTTTGCTTGCTTTAGTTTACCGAGCCCATGGGCCTTGGGAAAACAAGAATATATTTACAATACAAGGTATAATTAAAATGAAAAATAAAATAAATCAACTAAAAGGGAAAAAAGAAATCAAGTAATCATGAGAGTTTTTCTAATGATGGGTGCAGTTCCAAGGAGAGCAATCTTCTGTACTTCTGTGATAGAGATGTCCCCTTTTAAATGGTTGACATATTTTTCTAGTCCTTTGTGAATTAACCCCAGTGCCCCTATGACAATAGGTATGGTTTTTGTTTGCATACCTCACATTTTTTAATTTTTATTTCTAGATCTTTGAACTTTGAAAATTTTCTACTTGTTTTAGGGGCACATTTCGTTCTGCTGGGATTGACACGTCTATCAAGGAACATCGTTTCTCTACTTTGTTCTTCACTATGATGTCGGGTCTATTAGCTGTGATGGTTCTGTCCATATGTACTTGCATGTCCCATAGGATTGTTGCTGTGTCGTTGTCCATTACTTTTTCAGGTTCATGTTCATACCTTTTTATGCAGACAGTAAATCCATATCGCTTGCACAGTTTCTAATGAACATATTTTCCAACTTTGTTGTGTCTTTCTATGTATTCCTTCTTTGCAAGAACAGGACATCCAGATATGACGTGGTCGATAGTCTCGTCGTGATCACCGCAGATTCTGCATTTAGTATTAACATGTTTTCCCATGATCTTATTGTCGTAATACCTTGTGGGCAGCTTCTGGTCTTGTGCTGCTATAATAAGCCCCTCTGTCTCCGACTTCAAATCTGTTCCTTTTAACCAACTGTGTGTTCTCTGTTTGTCGACATCTGCTTTGTTGACTTGCCTGATGTACTGGTCATGAAGGGGATTAGACTCCCATTTTTCACATTGTTTCATTTGCAGATGATCTTTGTAGGTGCTCTTTATCCTTTTTGTTTTCCCAATTATGGAAACGTCGATTTTGCTTGGTAGAGATTCATTTAGCACATCTATTTCGCCACATTCGGTCTTGAATCTTTTACTTTCTTTGTGTATGGAGTACATCTTTTTGTTGTTCTCATGCTTAGAGACTAG